TCACTAATATCCGCTTGGGCGGGGAACATTACCCCAAGATTTCAGCCTTCTAGCTTCTCAGATCCTCCGAGTTATGACCCGCTTGGGCGAGGAACATTACCCCAAGATTTCAGCCTTCTAGCTTCTCAGATCCTCGAGTTATGAGCTGGTCCCCCCAAGATTTCAGCCTTCTAGCTTTTCAGATCCTCGAGTTATGAACTGATCCCAAAAAAACTTTGGCGGGCCTGTACGCGGGTACCACGCGGGTTTTGGCGCCAATTTTGGGCGACCCGGAACATTACCCCAAGATTTCAGCCTTCTAGCTTCTCGGATCCTCGAGTTATGAGCTGACCCCAAAAAAACTCCAAGATTTCAGCCTTCTAGCTTTTCAGATCCTCGAGTTATGAACTGATCCCAAAAAAACTTTGGGCGGGAACATTACTCCAAGATTTCAGCCTTCTAGCTTCTCAGATCCTCGAGTTATGAACTGACCCCGAAAAAACTTTGGGAAGCCCGTACGCGGGTACCACGCGGGTTTTGGCGCCCATTTTGGGGACTGGGGGCGGTACGTGCATGACCCGTACGCGGGCACCACGCGGGTTTTGGCGCCAATTTTGTGGATGGGGGCCCGTACTTGCATGTAGATTATGTCCCCAAAGTTTCATCCCCGTGGCTTTTGCCGGTCGCGAAATGAAAAATCGGTACAGAGGCCCAGCGCACACACAGACACACACACAAACACACACAGACACAGACAACCCTATTGACGAGAGGTTGTCTGTGTGTGTGTCTGTGTGTGTGTTTGTGTGTGTGTTTGTGTGTGTGCCTGTGTGTGCGTTTTTCGCATTGCACTGCTGCAAAAAACGCATAAAAAGAATAGAAGGATTTCACTTGAATGTCGTGTGTGTATGAAGACATTTTATGGCGCCGTCTCTGTGTTTCATCTCTTAGCTGGATACACAGACCGAACTGTGCGTACGGGTAGGAGTGGGAATCATCAGTACAGCCACCTACCCACCATGTTTTGAATTGTCATATAACTGATTTGCAAGACGGATTAAAAAAAGAAATAGATATAAGTGAAGGGGCAAATAGTAAGAGAGGAAGGGAAGAAGGGAAGTTAAAACGTGATACGAACATCGTTATATTTAAAATCCGACGGGCAGGACATGTTGCTAGCGTTGTCAGCAATCGCTGAATCTTGCGCATTAGTAAGTGGTATCTGCGAAAAAGAAAATAACCGCTCATGTCGAGCAGGCGGTATTAATCGAACAGAACCGAAGGCCTATCATAACTGCTCCAGCGTGTGGGAAAATCCCAGTAACATGTCCAGTCCGAGATCCTCGCTCCGATTTACCGGACGGTCTTGGTATTCTTGCCCGTATTAGGATTTGACGAACATTTCTTACTATGCTGACGTGCATTGTACACTGGGGGAAGTAGTGCTGTTACAGTGTAGAAGACTGAATTTTCGTCTGCCCCAGTAAGATGTTAAATGGTACTCAGTAAATTCAGATGGTCAAGAAATTGTTGAAAAAAGCTATATGAACCGAAAAAAAGCTTAATTCTACTGTAATTATCTGAACCTGTTTTCTTTTTTCTTTTCAGAGCATGGTTCTAAGCCGAGCATAACAATTACACGAGCACCAGATATTAATCGACAGGAAAATGGCTTTTTTGGTATGTTAGCAGAGAGATATTTTAATTCTGATAGCTTGATCAACTCTTTGACCAGTTTGTCAGCTTGCTGGCGGTCCTGACGTTCGTTTTTGTTTCCTGAAAATCACATCACCGGTTTTCTTGGCTGAGATATCTAAAACTTAGCGTACTGCTAGAACTTGATGTTCATCCAAAACTTGGTATAGTGCTAGGACTTGTTGTTCATCTGCAGCTTGGTGTACTGTTGAAGGTGCCTCTGAGCATCGGTATTCTTTAGTTTTGATAGCTTGATCAGCTGCATTTCATAGCCTGATTCTTCTGGTAATGCCTCTGGCAACTTTGCCGCTCTTTGTTCTATTTTTTTTTTTTGTCAACTTGCTGGCGATCTTGACGTTCGTTTTTATGCGTTTTTGCTTATATGTAAATTGCAAAAACGCATACTGGGAAGAGGCTGTCTGTGTGTGTGTGTGTGTGTGTGTGTCTGTGTGTTCGCACTTTTTGTCACCCTTTCAACTCTAGACCCAAAAAAGTTAGAAAGCTGAAACTTTGGGGATATGTGCCCATACCATGCGCGACCCTCCCGTTTTAATTTCATCCCCTGTGGACGCCTAAATGGCGCGTACGGACGCTTTAAAAAAATATGTAAATTTTCTGGCGGGAAAACGATCTCGGGAACCACACGAGCTAAGGGGCTGAAATTTTGTAGGAATATTCCCTGTGCATGA